GGGTCGCTATGAGTCGGTTCCGACTCGATGGCACCTGACAAGAACAACAACAACAACCATATTTTTAAGACTTAATATAAAATATCTCACTAATATTTCCACCACTTGTCTGTTAGTTTGTCACACTGTGGTGTCTTGTGTGTTTTTGTGATACTGGAAGCTATGCCCTCAGTATTTTGAATGCCAATAGGGTCACTCATGGTGGACAAGAATCAGCTGAGCTTCCAGACTTAGACTGACTCAGGAGAGCAGACTATTGCCTGATATTTGACCACTGAAAACTTTATAAGTAGCAGTGAAACACTGTCAGATAGCACCAGAATACTGAATATTGAAACATGATGAATAGCACCAGAATATTATCAGACACCATGCCAGAATATGAACCCCTCAGGTTGGGAGGCATTCAAAATATGACTGAGGAAGTAGAGTTGACTGTGATGATGTGAATGGAGTAAAGCTTTGGGGACCTTCATTTGCTGATGGGGCACAACTGGAAATAAGGGAAATCAGTTGAAGATATGAATTAATAATCAAAACATGGAATGTACAAAGTCTGAATCTAGGAAAATTAAAAATTGGCATAAATAAAATGGAATGCATAAACATCAATATCCTACTCATTAGTGAGCTGAAATGGACTGGTATTGGCCATTTTGAATCTGACAATCACATGGTTTACTATTCGAGGAATGACAAATTGTGAAGAGGAATGGTGTCGCAGTCATCATCAAAACGAACATTTCAGGATCTAACTTCAAGGACAACACTGTCTGTCACAGAATAATATCTATATATCTACAAGGAAGACCAGTTAATATCACTGTTATTCAAATTTATGCAATCACTAAAGCCAGTGAGGATGAAAATGAAGAATTCTACCAATTTCTTCAGTGTGAAACTAATCAAATATGCAATCAAGATATATTGACAATTACTGGTGATTGGAATGTAAAGGTTAGAAACAAAGAGAAAGAATCAGAGTTGGAAAATATGGGCTTGGTGATAAAAATTATGCTGGAGATCACAGGATAGACTTTTGCAAGACCAATGACTTCTTCATTGGAAATACCTTTTTTAAGCAACATAAAAGATAATTACAGAAGCTCTAGTCATGTAGTGGTAACCGCAAAATCAGAAGTTAGAATCTACCAGCCATTCTGCAAGAGAAAGACGAGGCTTTGTGCTCTCACAATAATGTACAGACTTGGAAACACTATAGGGTCTCTATGAGTTGAAAGACACTCTATGGAAAAATACCACCACCACCAATAGACATTTGTACACTTAGTCTTTACCACATGGAATACACATAAATCAAATTGACTACATCTATGGAAAGAAATGGTGGGAAAGTTCCATATCATCCAAAAAACTAAGACCAGGGCAGACCATGGAAAACACCATTAATTACAAATTCAGGCTGAAGCTAAAGAAAATGAAAGCAAATCCATGAGAGTCAAAAAATGGCTTTGAACATATTCCTGAATTTAGAGATAATCTCAAGAACAGGTAAACTAGACACTAATGACCAAAAGCCAGAAGAATTGTGAGAAGACATCAAGAACATCATATGGGAAGAAAGCAATGGTCATTATGAAGACAAGAAAGACAGAAAAGACCAAAATGGCTGTCAGAAAAGAGTCTGAAACTTGTTCTCCAGCATAGAGATGCTAAAGAAAATGTAAGAAATGAGGAGACACAAGAGCTGAACAAAAATTTTTCAAAGAGTAACTTGAGAAAACATAGTCAAATATTACAATGAAATGTGCAAACTGGAATTAGAAAACCAAAAGAGAAGAACACACTCAGCATTTTTCAAGCTGAAATAACTGAGGAAAAAATTCAAACCTCCACTATAAGCAAAATAGTGAACGATGCAGAAAGCATCAAAAGAAAACAGAGTCACTGTACAAAAAGAAATGTTTGATAGCATGTGATCAAGAGCCAATGATACTGATGGAAGAAGTCCAAGGTGCACTGAAGGCATTGGCAAAGAGCAAGGAATTGATGGAATACAAATGAAATCTTTCAACAAACTGAAGCAGCACTGGAGGCACTTAATTCATCTCTGCCAAGAAATTTGGACGGCAACTACCTGGCCAACTGACTGGAAGAGATCCATATTTGTGCCCATTCCAAAGGCAGGTGATCCAATGGAATGCGGAAATCAGACAATATCATTAATACTGCCTTGCAAGTCAAATTTTGCTAAAGATATTTCAAAAACAGCTGCAACAGTACATTGAGAGTGAACTGTCAGAGGTTCAAGTTGGATTCAGACAAGAATGTGGAATGAGGGCTATCACTGATGATGTCAGATGTATCTTGGCTGAAAGCTGAGAATACCAGAGGGAATGAGTCGATGGACGTGGTGTCTCAGAACCATAGCCTCAGGAGCACCATGGTCAATTGGTGCTACATAGTTCACAATGGCAATGTTCTGCATCTTAGGTGAGTAGTGACTCACTCTATGGAATCTTAAAAGAGTATAAGCAGCATCTAAGATACAACTACTGGGCCCTCCCTGTCTGGAGAAAAGAAGACTGATGAAGACCAAAGGTCCATGGAAACAATTAGTCCAGTAGACAAACTGACCATGTGAACATTAGTCTTCATGACCCTGAGCCCAGAAGAACTAGATGATGACTGGCTACCACTACCAACTGCTCCGAAAGGGACCACATTAGAAGGTCCTGGATAGAGTGGGAGAAAATGTCAAACAAAAACCCCCAGGCTTAATGGTCCTCTAGCAACTGGTGGAATTCTGAAATGATGGCCCTTAGTCACCCTTCAGATTTGGAACTGAACTCACTCCCAAAGCTCAATCTTCAGCCATACAATTGTTGTTGCTCTTAAGTGCTGTCAAGTTGATTCTGACCTATAGCGACCCTGTATAGGGTTTCCAAAATGCAGCTGGTGTGCTTGAACCACCACTCTTATGGTTCAAATTGAGTTTGCAGTCCAGCGCATTAACCCACAGTGCCACACCAGGGTTCCAAACAACAGATTTACCTATAAGGGAACAATAACACTAGTGAGGCACATACACCTTAGAATAATCAACCATTTGAAATCAAAAGGACAGCAAATTTACCCAAGAGCAAAGGTCAGAAGAGTTAGGAAAGGAAGAGGAATGGAAACAAGAAACTCAGGGAGGGGGTGCTACACTGAGGGCATTGCAGTCTATGAAACAGAACATGTATGGATTGTCCAACGTAAAACTGATGATCGGTGTTGCAAACCTTCACCCAATTCATAGTAAAAAGAAAACAAACACATCAGCAGAAAACTTACAGGGACACGTGATAATGGCTCAATCTAAGGCTCCTATCAGTAGTTGTAAAAGCTTGAAGGAGGAAGTTACTTTTTTGTTTCCTAAATCGTAACATGGCACTTTCAAAATAAGTGAACCAGCCAAGCACTGCAGTGAAGTACTCATAATATTTTTAGAAAAAAATACTAGAAAATGTCTAAATTACAAAGTGGCAGCTACAGATAAATGAACTTTGTTTTTATTCCTGGGCCTGACACACATTCAGATTCTCTAAATAACACTGAAAGCCATTCACTTATTACAACTTACATACAATTGAGAATTTTTTAAAGGCAAATAGCTTGCTGTTTCATATGCTTAAAGGCAGATAGTAACAGTAACAATAATAAAAGTTTACATTCACAATAATTAACTACTATGATGTGAGAATTTACTAAACACTACATATTATCATTTTTACACATTCACTTCTTATTACAGACCTAAAGTGGGGGTATTATTGCAGATTTGCAGATGAGGAGACAAAGCCACAGGAAGTTTAAGTGACTGGTCATGGTCTCACAGAGAACAAGAAGCAAAGTTTGAGAGATAAGGACAGAACAGATTCAGATCCTGTCCCAGACACTACATTGCCTTTAAGTTCTCAGCAAAACAGTAAACATGTTTCTTCCTTGTTCAAGCCACATCCAATGGCTTAG